CTTAAGCCATCCACGTATGAACCCGCGTGGAATTCACTTTTTTTTTTTGTTTTTTTTTCTGTTCGTTTTTGGATTTATTTTTTATTATAATAGGATAGTTTTAACCGCGTAGGAAACCACGTGAGACTTGTTTTTTTTTGTTTTTTGTTTTATTATTCGTTTTGGATTCATTTTTAACTATTTTCGATTTGAACTTATTAAGGTTTAGGGTTTATACAACTATTTTGATCTTTAAAACAATAAGCCCAAAAAAAAATATAAGAACCTTATAAACAAAAAGCCTATATGAACCTAAATTAAAAAAATCAAAAATACATGATAGCTGCGTGGTTTGAACCCACAATCTTGCATACTTAATTAGACACCTTATACCACTTGGCTAAAGTGTATTTCATTGTTTGTAACCATCTTACCAAGACTACGTGTGTTTAAAAAATATTTTTATGATGATGACATTAATTGGTTTATGCATGAGAGCAGTGGGAATTGAACCCATGTCATTGGAGACCAAACATGGGTCTTAGACCACTTGACTAAACTGATATTTTTTGTTTGTAGCCATTTTAAAACAACTATCTATTTTAATATAAAAATGTGGGACCCACAATCTGTCTATGTGGACACCTTAAGGAGCCTTTAAACTGAATCATTATAATATAGATTTTTTTCATTCCGAAATTGTCAACAACTCCAAGTCTCCAATCATCATATCTTGAACCTGCTTATCTTGAACTAATTTATTGTTTATTACTCCCTCTGTTTCATATTAACTGTCATTGTAGAAATTTTTTTGCGTTATAAAATAAGTGGTTTTCGGTTTTCAATACAAAATTTATTAATTTTATTATGTAATTAGTTTTTCTATTGGTTAAAATATGGTTAGGTGTATAAGTAAGTGTGTATTTATATAGGAGATATATAAAATTAATTATTTCTTTAATTCGTGTACACAGATGTGTACACAGATGTAGAGTAACACTTATAATAATACGGAGGGAGTAACACTTGCTTATTAATTAAAATTTCCTTTCAAAGAATACCATCATAAACAAATCAAGGAAAAACAAAACCAAATCACAAGATTGAAACTAGTCTGTAATACAAATGTGGTATTAAATCAATACTACAAAAAAAGAATCAAAGAAAGGGCTCTCACATGTTTCCCGGCTAGTTCGAGTTATAAAACTGATGAAAACAACTATTGATAAATTGAATTACCGTACAATCCGAATTAAAGAAGTGTCAAGGATACATTAACCAGATTTATTCAAACATAGTAAACCTTTGAAGGTTGAAAAAGGAAATGCTTATCAAAACAGAGGAAAATTGAGGATGTGTTGAAAGTATCCTGTAACAGAGATGAAGAAACCACCCAAAAATCTTACACCAGACTACGACAAGCCTCCACTTTGGTTGCTTGAGCAGCCAACAGAGACTCACTTACACTCTTTATCACAGCATCCAAGACTGCTTTCTTGAACCGATCATCCTCCATTTTCAACAGAATCTCTTCCACAGTTCCAAAATCCGATGCATTGGCCATGACCAAACTCCCAACGATCTCCCCAAAGTTGTTTGGTGCCTTTGGCAGATCGATCCCAATGTCATCTAGCATAGACGCGTAAAGCAGACAACCACTCCCTATGTCTTTAGAAGTTAGAACGTTCTTGGAAACCAAATACTCCAAGAGTCTCGCCACTGGTTCAACGCACGGTGGATTCTTCTCCAAGCCGAGGGAGATAGCTTCCTTGACTAGCTCCGGATGGTAAGCTGGCGATTTCAGTTCCTCTACGCATTGCATTGCCTCATCCATTAGACGGACATTGAAGTATTCTTCCAAAAGAGATTTCGTTTTTCTGCTGAGCACTTCTGAGTCCATAGGAGAAGCTGCCTCCTGTGGCTGTGGTGGTGCTTGTGACTGGGGCTTCACCACTGTTGGTTTGCTCGGGGAAGGAATGGGTTTCGGCTGTTCACTACCTTGTAAAAGAGCACTTGGTCTACCAGCCAAGATACCTCCACTGCCCTGAGGTAAGAGCCTTGAGTTAACGGATGGTGACTTGTCGACAACACGCCCTGTGGGTTGCGGATTCTGCCTATTCCCTCGGGGTATGGAGCGGGACCGTGCCATCTCCCAGCCATCATCATCTATTACAGGCATCTGCCTAGCCCCTGGCATTCCCGGCATCTTCCTAGCTCCTGGCATACCAGGCATCATTCCTCCTGTACCAGAACGTCCAAAAACGTTTCCAGAGCCATGCATTTCAGCTTCTGAACCACCACCACGGTTGTTACTATTTCTCATATTCGCCATTGCACCAGGGCGCAACCCAAGATTCCTCTCTGCCTCGGAATGAATCTCAGTAATTTTCTTGGCTTTCATCTGCCATTTGGAACAAGCAAGAAGAAACATAAGCACAGATAGAAAACTGCATAAGTAATTAAAGATAAAAATCGAGAAGTATGAATTTTTTACCTCCTCTCGCCTTGGTACCCACTTGTCAGCTCGCAGATCAATAACATTACGGACCATAAATTTCAGGCGTGGTGCAAGCATCGGGTGCATTGTCAGTTCCTTCAAACGAAGGAAGTATGTGTCGTTTATACCTCGTGATCTTGGGCTATCATCGAGCTGTTTGCCAATGGTGATGAAAAATTGACAGAGAGCCTCTACATCTTCCTCTGCTGGGCAAGCTTTATTGTCACTTCCTAAAAGCTCCTGTGATCCAGACACAAAGTTACCATGAGCTTTACAGAAAGTAAAAATTTTAACAGTGCAGAAAAAGAAGAGAGAGTGAGGAGTCATCATACTTGGACGATGTGATGGACGATCTTCTCGGGCACCATCTTCTGCTTCAGAAGCTCACCAATCAAACGGATATTTCCTAATGTTCGAAGCTTCAACATCCTTTCCTTGTCCCTGCGATCCATTTCTTGTTCTGGATTAGTCATCAGTCTGATTTCTTGCTTCAATTTGTCAGCTCCCTCAAATTGTTCTTGGCAATTGTTCAATAACACTCTTTTGAATGTTACTTCTTTTCCACCGGCTTCCTCAGATGGGAAGGAAGGCAGCTTTCCATTAATATCAAAACACAAAAGAGCATACATCTGACAAAACGTGGGCTCTAGCACAGCCTTCTCAAAAATCAGCTGTATCACTCCCTGAATGAAAAAAAAAAAGATAAGAACAAATCATGCCATGAAGAGAAAACTACAAAACATCATCCTGGAGCTTCCGCTCTCCTCTGGCAATAATGAGCCAAACTAGTATTTGCGGTGAATCCCCCTGTTAAGTAGTCACGCATTACGATAGCCAAATGCACAAGGAATAGGGAATGTACCTTTAGGATATCTGCAGAAGTAATCCCAGAGTCAATTAATTGACCTTTAAGGAGATCATACTTCTCAGGAGTCATCTTGTTCAGGATACTGCAAACAACCAGAATAACAAGATTCAAGCAACTGCATAAAGCAAATAACACCAAAAAACAGAGACAAAACACTCATTATAATAACAAAGAATACAATACCCTTTAACAGTCTTGAGAACTTTGTCCTTTTCCGAAAGAGTTCCTCTTTTAGCTGACCATGGAACATCAGCTTTCACCAGAACAGGAGGAGGACCAGACTGTTTCAGCAAAAGTAATCATATAAGTTTACAAGCAATAACCACACAAAAGCAAACTACCAGAGTAGTCACAAAACTCACCCCAGTACGGTCACCTCTAGGTTCACGTTGCTCTTCCCTAGACCTTTCTTTACTTGGGGAAGGAGCTGGTGCACGAGTATGCCAATCACGGTTATCAGTCTCCGAGAAACGATTCTGAACTTGAGCTGCAGGCTGATAAAAGGCAAACAAAGAATCTCATTACTAAGTTCTTAAACAAAACCTAGAAAGCAACAAAGAAAAAAACACTTCACCTTGGTTTCAGAACGTCCCCAGCTCTGCTCTTCACCAAATAGATCAGCTGAAATCTCTTGACTAAGCTTCAAGATTTCCTCAGAGACTTGAATTGCCTGCAACACAAGAAACATTGTGAATGACTTAACCATGACTCAAGAAATCATCTTTAACTAATAATTACCTCTTTAAGCTGAAGAAGCTGTTCTCTTGTGAACTTCAAAATCTCATGACCTTCAAATCTCGAGTCTCCTCTCTAACATAAAAACCTCAACTTTAGGTCGGATTCAATAGGCATGAGAGCTCACAATCAATAATTCAAATTCATAAAATCAATAATCCATTAACTCAAAAATCCAAACCCCAAAACGAATGTAATCCTCTCTAACAAACCATTAAAAACTTCAACTTTAGGTCGGATTCAATAGGCATAAGCTCACAATCAATAATCCATAATTCAAATTCATAAAATCAATAATCCATTAAATAAATTCAAAAATCCAAACCCTAAATCGAATGTAATCCTCTCTAACAAACCATTAAAAACCTCAACTTTAGGTCGGATTCAATAGGCATAAGCTCACAATCAACACTACATAATTCAAATTCATAAAATCAATAATCCATTAAATAAATTCAAAAATCCAAACCCTAAATCGAATGTAATCCTCTCTAACAAAACATTAAAAAAACTTCAACTTTAGGTCGGATTCAATAGGCAATGAGCTCACAATCAATAATCCATAATTCAAATTCATAAAATCAATAATGCAATTCAAAAACCCAAATTAACTAATCCAAACCCTAAAAATCGAATCTTAATCCATAATTCAATTTCATAAAACCAATAATCCAATAACTCAATTCAAAAAAAAATCCAAATTAACTAATCCAAACCCTAAAAATCGAATCTTAATCCACAATTCAAATTCATAAAATCAATAATCCAATAATGCAATTCAAAAAAATCCAAAACCCTAAAATCGAATGTAATAATAGTTTACCCTAACGGCAAAAGAAGGAGCATCTCCGCCATTGGTGAAATCAGAAGAGGAAGAGGAGAAGCGAGGAGCGAAGAGTCTGCTTCCTCCACGACCACCTCCAGGTCTTAGGCTCAACACGGGGCGGTCACCTTGTTCCATAGTTTTTTTTTAGATCTATTCGAAGGTATTAAGAGGGAAAAAAGTTTTACGAGAGAGATTGTTGTTGTGAGGAAAAAAAAAAAGAGAGGAGCGGCGCAGAGAAGGGTTGAGACTTGTTTTTAATATCTCTCTCTCTCTCTCTCTCTCGATGTCCACAAAAACGTTTTTAGGGTTTGGGAGTCAAGCTAAACCAATCTGATTTTATACCAACAAATAAGAGTTGAGATGATTATATTAATTAAATTACTATAAATAAAAAAATTTAATAATTATATGTAAAAAATATTATTAACCACAACAAAATATAATTTATTAATCTGATTTAATATAAATTAAAAAATGTAAAATAGTATTAATCAGAAGAAAAAATAATTGATAGTATTTACAACAGGAAAAATTAAAATTATATGTAAAATAGTATTAATCACAATTCCCAACAAAATATAGTTTGATAGTATTTACAATAATCAATGGTAAGATTTTATTTTAACATTCAGAGGTAGAAAAATACAATTAGAAAATTACAGTATTAGTAGAAAATATGTAAGATACAGAGATAATCTTAAAGTCAACAATAGTTTAATATTATATCAAGAAAAAAAAAGATTGATTTATTAGTTTGTTTATAGAGTTGATTTAGCTCAAAATACCAAAAGAAGTAGATATTTAGGGATTTGCCATATTTTAGGGGGAAAAATTAGTGATGGGGGAAGGAAAGAGAAGAGAGAAATAGGGTATGGAACTAAATAAGGTGTTTTGTGTGTGTATGAAACAAATACTCTTGTTTATACAGGTTGATACTATTATACTCTCTCCTTTTCAATTTAGTTGTCATTCTACGTTTCTGCACATAGATTAAGAAAATAATTAATTTTACATATTTTCAAAATAAAAACACAATTACCTATTCACCTAACCACTTTTCAACCAATGAAAAAATAGAATGACATTTAAAAACAATAAATTTTGCATTGAAATTAAACCAACAATTATTTTGAAACGAAAATTTCACTCTAGAATGACATCTAATCTAAAACGGAGGGAGTATAACTTTAGGAAAGAATTTTCTGATTTTGGAAAAAGTATAGCTAAAAAATATAATATTGTTAATGATAAATTTAATACGGTTCCAAATATAGGTATTACTAAGACAAAAAAATTATTAAAAAAATGAAAGTTCGAAATTAAATTTAACTTCTTGTTGAGATTTATTCAGTAGTTTTAGTTTTTATTTATTGTAAAATTTATTACACAAAGTGGAATGAATGTTCAGATTTGTCTTATGTATTTAACATCATTACCGGAGTTTATCCCTATCATGTTCTCAGACACATTTTGTTAATGTTTTTTTCTTTGAAAATAAAAACAAAAAAAAATGAGAGAATTTTATTTTAAATCTCCTATTTTCTGAATTTACGATCCGTTCTAGTGCGTTGGCTCTGCCTCTAAAGCGCCATGGCTGGGATCACCGCACCATCTCGTTCAACGCCATCAAAACCATCAAAACGGTGTCGCATCAGCCATTCTCTGTCATACTCCCAGCCTCTTCGAGTTTTGACTCTACCTACCTGAACTGTCAGTTATCACTCTCTTGTCTATATCACTCTCTTGTCTACTGGGTAAAGGTGGATACTTTGAATTTGAGTGAATGTGTCTCTTAGCCTTAAGTTATGTATTGACTTTTGATGTAGGTCAGCTACTGTTAGGCTTATTGATGAGCAACGGAACATGGTGAAATGAATGTGCTTTGTGTTTAGTTTTAGTTTTAGCAAGACAGAACATACATAGACTATCTTTTGTTGTGTAGATTGGTATTGTTTCCCAGGAGGAAGCTGTAAGAAGAGCTGAGCTGGATCTTTTTTTGTGTTTCTTTGTAACATCAACGCTTTTATAGATACGTTACCTTGAAGAGTATCATTTTAATGAATTGTTGTAACTTAAGCTTGTTCCTACGTCAGCTACTCGCACGGACTTGAAGGAGCTTAAAATGGGGTAAAAAATGTGCCTTGTCACTCTCTGTATCTCTCTCTCTTTTGTCTGTGCCGTTTCAGTGACTTGTTTAGAACTTCTCTTCTTCTCAAAAGGTTTCTCCTCTTTTTTTGTTTCCTTGATAGTTATAACATTGACCAGCATGACTACTCTCTACGCATGAGAGCAGCTAGGAAGTTTTTTGCAAGATGGAGACAAGGTTGTTCCCATTTACTTTCTCTGTTGGTACAGGAATGAGTCATTCTGATTATATCTTGCTGCTGTGTGACCAGGTTCAAGTGATTGTGAACATGAAAGGCAGAGAAAATGAGTTCAGAAATATTGCTATTGAGCTCCTCAGACGTTTTCAGACTGAAACAGGAGAGGTGTGTGTATTGTTCTATACCCTCTTTGGTCTTTCTAATACAAGCTTAGGATTGGACTGGCATGTATTGCTCCTTGGTGAATCTTGTTTGTTGAGTCGCTGAAACATGTCAACATCTGCAGCTTGCGACTGAGGAAAGTAAAAACTTCCGGGACAGAAATTTGTTTATTCTTTTAGTGCCAAACAAGGACGTTCTTCGCAAAGTACAAGAACCATCCCCAAAACAGAAGAAAACTCCAGCTGATGCTGCAGGTATAACTGCAACTTAAGATGTATGATGCACAGTTGCGTGAAGGTATAATGTCAGGCCATGACAGAGAGTTTGATAAATGTCTGTATATATAGTTCCTTTTCGACTATGCTTCTTGCATTCCCATGTATCTCTGTAACCATAGAAATAGATTATTTGAATGACGATCTTCCTTTATTGTTAGTTAGTATACCATAGGTTTCAGCTTTTAAGCTTAGTCTTATAGACTGTAACAAGAGATCAAGACTTAAAGAATTATCAATTATGATGTCATGTTACAGTATGAGTTATGTTTATAAAGCGCCTAAAAACAACCTAAATTGCTTTTTCCCTTTCCTAAGACTTTCGAACTATTGATATTTCACTTCCTGTGTTCCTATGCTAATGTTTCATACCAAAATAAAATCGACTTCTAACTAGACAGGAGAACACCAAAGAGCAATTTACAGGTGACAAGTCATCAGTGTTGAGCGTGTGGAACTGTTGTAAGTGTGTTATTTATGGCCATGGAAACTTGCTTAGTGGCAACAATGAAGGAGTCTCCTCCTCTTCCTCTGCATCTTCTTCTCCTTCTCTCCTACTTTGTATCAAATGAGTCCTGAGACTACACTCATTTATCTGTCACATGCCACACAAAAAAAAAAACTCTGTTTCCATTCTTTTTACAAAACTCATCCTACATTCATTTACTAGATTGTTTATTCTTACCTGCATGATCGCAGTTGAAGCCAGAAGATCTTCGCATTTCCCTTGCATACAACTCTCTTTTGTAACCACAACAGCCAGTTCTGACACCATTTTATTCATCTCCTCCACCTGCAAACACAATCACAAAGAGCAGGCTTGAGAGTTATGTCAAGAAGGTAAAAATTTGAAAAAACAGATTCACTAAAAAGGTCTTTCACCTTTGAGAGTAAAGACCAAATAGACGATCCCATAGCCTGCATTACATCAAGAGCTGAAGACATAGCTGCTTTCAAAGATTCAACATCCGCCTGCACAGAAGAGAAGTTATAAAACATCTTTTGTATTTAATCTCCATGAGTATTCGAAATAGTAACAATACATACCTTTGTTCCTCCAGTCACTGGAAGGCGAAGAGTATTAGCTTCCAAATCTGCTATAGCCCCAACTAAAGAACTAACATGGTCTCTTTCAAGCCTGGCCCATTCTTCAAGACCCACCATCTGTGCACATAAGCATCAGCATTGCATAATCTACTGAATGCAAAGTCAGTAAAGAGAACCTACTTGTTCGTTTAGTAGTGAGTTGAGTTTGATCTCTAGCTTTAGCTGTTGCAAACTAATCCTCTGGCTTGTCACATCATCATGTAGCTCTGATATTGCATGCCACACATTAAATAAAGTTTCCTGAAAACATAATCAACCTGTTGAAGAACCGTTCATGTTGCTACAGAGGACATAAAGTATTATATTATTTACCTCGGATGTTAATCTTTGAATGTACATTACAGCTTCAGCTTGCGCAATTGCAAACCGCCACTGTAAGTATCTATTGTGGAGAAGACGTAGCTGATGCACGTCTTCTATGTAGCTAGCTTTCTTGCCTTTCTTAACATCTGTGATGAAGCTGAGAACAGAACTTGTGCTTGTTTGTCTTATCTGTGAAGGACTTACTCCTCTTGAAGGTGGAGTTGATGGTCTAGCAAAAGAAGAGGAACAAGTGACACGTGAAGGACTCCCTCCTCTAGAAGCAGGGCGAGATCCTGGATGCAGCCTAGCTACAGCAGTTGTTAAGGTTGCTCTATCCATAGAACTTGCAGACAAAAGTCTGTTATTATCTGCCGACTTTGTTGGAGACAACAAAACACAAGTTTTATGCAACGGTTTTAAACTGCTTGACAAAGGTAATGACATTCTCCTAAGAGTCTTGTCACCAAGATCTAAGCTTCTGTTTAAAAGATTTGAAACCATCTTACCACCAATTCTACTAGGCCATCTATGCTGTTCTATTAACTTACTATGAGCACCATCTCCAGGTTTCGAATTCTCTGTAAGATCAGATGCATTATTCTTTACTTTCAATGGACTTATCTTCCTCTCTGGTGTTGGTTTTCTTGATAGAGAGTTTGTTTCAGCTTTCTGCTTGTGAGCTATATTTGAAGAAGGTCTCAAAGTTCGATCCGCAGAAGAGCTTCTAACACTTCTCTCCTTCTTACTAACAAGGACAGAGACAGAGTCTGACGAGGTGAGGCTTCTCATAGTGGAAGGCCATAAGTTTTCAGGCAAACGACCTGTAGATAGTCTCCTAGATGAAGCTAGTGGTGAGTCTATAGAGGGAGGTGTTGAAGGACGGTTCCTGTCAGCAGAGATGGATCTTTTAGCAGATATGGATTGAGAGGTTGAAGAGAGTGTTGGTCTTGTGACGCTTGGAGAAGGGCATCGGGAGGTTTTGGTTGGTGTTGGTGATCTGTATCTTGAACTGACCTCACGGCGAGTGACATTGTTCTTATCTGATGGAGTAAGACGGCGTCGTCTTGTGGTATCAGATGCTATGTCCATTCAAAGGTAAGGGAACGAAGTTGCATCGGTTGGAGTCAGTAGTTCACGCCTCTCTTTCTTTTTTGTTATCTTCAGAGTCTTTTTAATCTGCAAGAAAGCCAAAACATAGAAGAAACATTAAGATACCTCACAGATAGATTAAGAAAAGAAAGAGAGAAAGTCTTCTCTAGTGTCTTTATCAGAGAAGTGACATGAACAGATTACTAAATATTATTATGTGTAATATTCTTTTAATGGAAGATTTTTATCAAATGAAGAAACTCTTCTCTAATGTCCTTATCAGAGAAGTGTCATGGTTGGATTGGCTGGAAAGTTAAGTGTACAAATCTTCTTTCTTTCAATCATATTCAAAGAGAACAAATAGTAAACAAAAGAAACTTACTATATTAATAAGTGTGACAATGTTTGATATTGACAATTTACAGAGTTTTGGTGTTTTTTTTCCAAATACGTGTATGGAAAGAATAAAGAATTGGTGCCAACACTCGGAAACGATGAAATGTAGTATAACAGTGATGATGATTCATGGTGGTTTTGAAACTTTGACCAGATTGAGAAAGTGAAGAATGAGAGACGCAATTCAGAACATAAGAAAACAAAACACTTATAAGTGTGTTAAAAGAGTGAATAAGATGGGTTATGACAAAGAATCCAAGATTACAAAATTTTGTCTGTGTTCCGACCGACTTGTGTCTCTCATCAGTGACACAGACAAGACTCGTGTTTAATTGATATCAAATTCAGTAACTTTTTTTTTACTTCTACGAAGACAAATGCAAAGCTAAAACTTAGAGATCTGAGGGGTTAAAAAATAGAAAAAAAAACTTACCAGGAAAGAAGCAAGCCCGTGATTCTTTCTCCACGCGGAATACAAACCTGATCGGAGTTAGTAAACCGTAAAAATGTTTCTGATGAGTAATGCTCTCAGAGAAGAAGAAGGAGAAAGATAAAAAACGCCAAGAGGTGAAATTGATCTTGGGGTGATTGAACGATCAGAGAAATTAAAGAGAGAAAGGGCGTTATTTTCGCGCCACCTAATTTTTTGATAATTAATAACAGTCTTTTTCTATTTTCTCATTTAATTTAAAAGAATCTTTTACTTTTTTTCTCATCTAATTAATGAATTTAGTTTTTTTCCTTAAACCTAATGTTTGAATTAATTTAGTTTGCGTTAATCTAGTACCTCCCTAAAGTGAAAAATCATGTTTAACCAATTTTTTTTTTTTAACAACAAACCAAAAATATTATATAAATACCCTCCGAGTTCAGTATTTTTTATTAGTTACATATGGTTTTATATCTTGGGTTTATGAGATATTTAAATCCAACACATTCGAATAAATAGATAAAAATTAATACTTATAAGGTCCCTAATGTCACGCATACGTTCCAAAGAGTCTTTGATCATGAGTTTGTAACCTTTTTTGGGGTTCATTCATCTTCTTAAAGTATAGTATAGTAGAATTTCTATAAATTAATATTCGATAAATTAATATACACTAAATATCTTTATAAAATAATATAATTTCTATTTTTAAATTAAATTTTTGGTTCGATTAATATATCGATAAATTAATATATCCTTAAATTAATAAAAAAAATTTTGATATAGCCCCAACATTATTAATCTAATAGAAGTTTCACTACACCTATAAAAACTATTGATGGAGATTGATTATTAGGAGATACAATTGTAAAAAAAAAAACTCAAATTGTCAAATAATCGAGACCAAATGTGATAAAGTTTATCCAACTGATGATTATTTCGTTTTTTGTAATTCTGTATACAAATTAGCATTTTCGCCGAAAGCTTAATTTTACAGCTGCTTACTTTTCACACCTAACCTTAACTATAATCACAAGAGTTTAGAGAAAAGAGCTCTCACGCAAGCAATTCAAAATTTAACTATGATGGTTACTCATGGTAAGTGTGTCTGATCTCTTATCTTTTTAGTTGTCTTTTCTTCTTGCTTGTGAAAAGAAAATTTACCAAACACTGACAGTGGTTAGCCCCAAACAAAGTTTCTTTCTACAATTTTCTTATTAACATTTATAGATACATAGTTGACAAGAACTGTTATATGTATTATAAAATATCATTCTAATTAAACATACAAAAAACCTGAAATCACATGGATTGTATATTATATGCTTCACTTGACACTAGGTGTTTCAAGAAAAAAAAAAGCTTCACTTGACACTATAGTATATTCTAATGGCTAATTGCATTGTTTAGTCTCTTAAATGGCTACGTTGATCTCCCTCAAAATCATTTACACGTTCTTTATCTAGATATCCATGCATAACATATCTAGAAAACATTAGTAAAATAACAATACCTCAATATCTTTATTTCTTATCAAAAATTTTCACTATTTTGGTCGAGTCTTGTAGGATGATAAGGTTCAGTAGTACAATAAAATAACCAATTTTAAAAACAACAAATCGATGTTTTAGACTTCAATAAAGTTTTGCACATGAGATGGTTCCGACATATCATATGATCTTAAATCTTTCTACAGACTTTTGTCTCTCTTTCATTTTGTGTGCCCCTTACTTCCACTTGGAGGGTTCTATACTTCTATTCATTATCAACATTTTTTAAAACATATATTTTCCACTTTTCTATTGTATAGAAATCTTTTCTTAATTTTATATTGTCTACACATGTATGTACTCCCAATTTTTAAAAACATTGAACCTAGCAACACATCTACTCCTCCAGTTCGTGGATTCAATTTCTCCAGAAATCTTAAAAAATATATAAAAACAAAAAAAAAAAGAATGTTTGTATTTACCTAAAGCTTGGTGGTATAACTTGTTAAATCAAACCATTATAACCTGTTATGATAAAACTGTCACCATTGATTTAATGCCACTGATGAACTACTAATCAACGATGAAGTGAACTATAGTGAGGAAAAGATATCAAAAAGAATAAAAACAAATCGCTGGAAATTACATTAGTTTACTTCTCTTGACTCCTAATGTTTAAGTTACATAATTCTAAGGCAAAATTCTCTTCCGGCTGATGCATATATGTATCAGTTCTTAAGCAGCAAAATCCAGAGGAAGAAGCAGTCCTCATTGATGTTCTTCTCTACCTCAACATCATCATTAGTATTTTACAAGTCCAGCACCTTGAGACTTTCCAATAACTGACTCTACGGTTCCATCAAAGAGATCAAAGCTTTTTGCAACAGCAAAACCTGAAAACATACCATCCACTGCAGCACTTACAATCCCACCAGCATATCCAGCTCCTTCACCAACTGGGTATAAGCCTTTCAAGCTTGTGCTCTCGTATGTCTCATTGCTTCTAGGTATCCTAACAGGAGAGCTTGTTCTCGTCTGTATTTTTTAATAAAACGTTGAAACCTTGTTATCTCTTCTCTGAAAAGTAGACTGATTCAAAACAAGTTGTATACAAAATATTTATACCTCTACACCATGAAGGAGTGCTTCCTCTGAGATGAATCCCGGTAACTGAAAGTTCAAATGTTTTAGGAAAAATAAAACCTATGGTTTTTTTATAGCAATAGGAGAATATTGAACCAACCTCTTTGTCAAACATAGAGAGAGACTGTCTTAGAGAATCTGTGATATGAGCAGGAAACAGTTCATGCAAGTTTGCAGACTTCACTCCTAATCTATAGCTTGATGATGGTAAAGGTGTTTCTATTTTAACAACACAAGAATAACCAAAACACATAAACAAACCACAAGTTGAAGAATGAAATGAGAATTGAGTCTTAAGGAGACTAGTGTTTACCAGATAACTTGTTTTGTAGAAAATCAGTAACTCTTTGTACAGGAACTGTAAAATCCCCACCACCCATTATAGCAGCTCTTCTTTCAAACTCTCTCTAAATAAAACCAAAAGATCAAATGAGATCAAAACTAATAGTCATACAATCAACTTCCAGATAGATACCTGAAACTCAATCCCAGCTAAGGGTCCAGTAAGATTGAGAAGATCAAAGTCTTTTGCTGAGACTGTGACGACTAATGCAGCATTAGCCCATTTGGAAGAACGGCGAGAAAATGACATGCCGTTGATGCAGAGTTCGTTTGGGTTTGTGCTGGTGAGAACAACCTGCAGATACAAGTAAACAGTCTTATTCATGATAAAGAAAAAAAAAACAGCAAGACAAAGTTTAAGGAAACTGTACCTGACCACCAGGACACATGCAGAAGGAGTAGCAACTACGTTTTGATGAAGACTCAGAGAGATCCTCATCTTTATCATTCACGTATTGAACAACCTTATAGTCCGCTACAGGTACTTTACCTCGTCCTTTACGAACTTCACTAGCTAAATCTGAGTACTACATAACCATAAGAAAAGGAAGAGCATCACAACTTCAGAAAATTTATGGGATTCTGAATGATACATTGAAGAGATGTGATGTTAATGTAAACCCAACCAACCTGTATACTGTTAATTAGCTCCTGAGGATGCTCAACACGCAAACCAACCTGGTCAACACCAACATATAGATATCAAACCAAGCCAGAGAATATACTCACAACATATGTAAAAGAAAACTTACGGCAAAATCTTTTGGAGTCAACTCCACATTACGAGAAAGTAGCATCTCATATGTATCACGTGCTGAGTGACCAACAGCAAGAACAACTGCATCAAACTTTAAATCCTGTGAGCTACTATGCAACTGGTCTGCTGAATCCGAAACTCTGACTCCAACAACACGAGAATCATCCACCAGAAGATCATCTACTCGAGTCCCAAACCTGATATTCACCTAAATTAAACATATATATAATCAAAGAGTAGCTCACAAGAGAAACAAGACCTTTAATCAAAATCTAAACTTACTCCTGCGCTTTGAAGATAATGTCTGAAGTTACGAAGTAATGGAACTAGCTTATCTGTTCCTAGATGTGGCTTTCCATTGACTAGTATATTATCAGGAGCACCAAAACGAACCAATGTCTTCAACACCTGCAACAATTAAAGATAATGTGAATTGTGTTTGTTTAAGAAGTAAGAGTCTTAGAATACTAACCGCTAAAACAGTAGCGCTGTTCTTCCCTATTCGAGTAACAAGCTTCCCATCACTCCAAGTACCTGCACCACCCTGCGACAACATAAGTGCTAAACTATATGACTTTGACAAAAACTGAAGAAACTAGCAAACAAGCTAAAGAGGAGAAGTATATTATTTAAACCTCGCCAAAGCAGAAGTTACTCTCCATATCCAAAATCCTACGAACCACCAAAGCGCCTATATCACGTCCCCTTTCTTCTACTGCTTGTCCTCTCTCAATCAATGTCACATCAGCACCAAACTCCGCAAGAACAAGAGCAGCAAACAAACCAGAAGGACCACCACCAACAACTGCAATTTTCGGTTTGCTTCTTCCTCCATGATGGTGTGGAACTCCATTGCCGTTGATAACTGCATCACTGTTGACTCTCTTACACTCGTTTACTACACTAATCAAGTCACCTGAAACAGTCTTCTCAGGAGGGATATGCTCAACAAGCCCAAGCTTGGGCTCTAACCGGAAAATAAAGTCATGAGCACGTGGCTCTAACTCAAGTAGAGTCTTCACATCCAAGTCCACAGTATACACAAACTTAGCTTCTTTCAGAATCTACACAAAAAGATGAAAACTCAATCACTATAATCACAACACCAATATAATCAAACTGTAACCCCCACACGGTTAATAGGCCTCCCATGCTCAATCGACAGGTGGATCTTATTCCGTGCAATGGTGCATTAGTTTTCGAAAATTAATTTAATTTTTGAAAATTCCAAAGACTTTTACATGATCCTGCAATCACCACAAGAACTTTCCATGTGTTTAGCCTCGCTCACAGGATATTTCGAATTACTGATAGCTTAACCATACTTTAACTACTCCATGTTAAACACGCTTAACTCTTAACTCTGATATTCTCTCTGGATGGGTGATCTAAGGGGAAGTGATTCGCGATATCATACGAGTGAGACCAAATCAAATGAAAATATCATTTTGTAATCGCAGAGACAGTAAACAAATCTTTCGAGCATTCGAAAACTAGCGCACCGCGCATCTCACATAATAGAGTCCATGGGCCAAGTGAACAAGTGTGGCCTATGTTAGCCGTAGGTGGTTAGGGTGTGACACAAACAGTAACATACCTTCCTAGCGTCAAAAGACTTCCTCACCACTGAAAACGCTTCTTCTGGTAACATTGAAGCAACCTGAAAAACCCAACAAGAGTAACCATTCAACCACACAAACACTAGCTTCATAATACTAATATAAAGTTTCGCATATTTCCATATAGTTTCAGACATTTCATATAAAATTTCAACCTTTTCATATAAAATTTCAAACTTTTCATATAACATTTCAACCTTGTCATGTAAAGTTTCAAACTTTTCATATAAAATTTCAACCATTTCATATAAAATCTCAAACTTTTCATATACATATACAGTTTCGATTTTTTTTCATATAAAGTTTCAAACTTTGCATATAAAGTTTGGAACTTTTGATATAAAATTTGGAACTTTTAACTCACCGGAAACTCAATAACTTTAGCGATGGCTTGAAGCAACCCTTCAGAGATTCCAAGACAATCTTTTCCAGGATCTTCTCCAACGGGAACTCCAAGCTTAGAGAGACGCCAAACTCCTTCGAGTTTGTTCTTAACCTTTGCAGCAGCTTCCTTCTTCTCTGTTCTCAGCTTCTTTCTCTCTGAAGGGTATCTCCTCTTCCCGGTTCGCTTCGCCGCGCAGAGGATACGGTTTGTTTGGGTACGTGGATAAGAGAGTGTTGGTTTAGGGTGAGGGATTCGCTGGAGGCCATGGCTGATGCTTGGTGAGAGGAATGAAGGAGTGAAGACATTAGTTTGGGAGAGAGACATAGCAACAACGCTCTCTGGTCTCTCTGTCCGAAAGAGTTATCTATTCAATCGTTTTGAAATTGAATTTACTTGAGAGTTCGGTTACTATTATTATTGGTGTCCAAACCGGTTTTGTTTGGGTCTGGTTTGATTTTGATTTGGTTTTAAGTTTTTATAACTAGTTATGTGTTGTGAAATAAAGAAGAAGGTTGTAACTCTGTATATCTTATTCATCACGTGCACATACATATATATACATACAAGAGAATAAGCATATTCCTTAGGAGATAAGGATTACAACAATAAAGGGGATGATTATCCTAATCCTATAATGATTAGGATAACTACAACATATGGATAAATACAAGGGAGGATAATGACAAGT